AAACATCAATACACATACATTTGACTGATATTATAGCACACTAGATCGCAAAATATGTGAGTTATTATTGATTTTGCGAAAAATATTTTTTGAACCTCTACTGCTTCGAAGTAGTGGCCAACATTGTTCAAAACTTCCGTATACACACATTTTCTGATTATGCCACCGCACTAGATTCTGAAATAGGTAATTAATTCTTGATTTTGCTAGACAAATGTTACATTCAAAGTGTTTTTATGTTACTTCATACGCGAAGTTTGCGATTTTCAAAGTTGGTTGGAAATGCTAACATGAAGCTTTAGTGTGATAATTTATTAGCTAGAGAATGATCTTTAGAAGAGGGTAGGTGGATAGTTCCGTTAGAGTACGAGCCTGTAGACTTGAAGACATACTTCAAATCTCCGCGTACATCGTACGGGCTAGGCAAAAGGTGTGCGTTAGACTTTATACTGTCGCATTAAGGTGATACGATACGTCACGTTTTTTTTGCTTTTTTTCTCTCGTTTCTATGTGTCAGTGAAATGATTATCATTGATGCTGTAGGGGTGTGAGTGTAAATTATGCATTGTCGCAACTACCGTGTAAACATACCTGCTAGAGTTCGTTATTAAGAGGTCGAATGTGAAACAGTTAATAAAACAAATAGAAAGTTGAAGAAAAAGTTATATCTTACAGCAAATTTCAACATTCATCATCTTTCACAGATTATATTTTTATCATCCACTATTTAAACCATTACTACATTTCTATTCAATTTGCCAATATCAACGATCTACCACCTCCCAAGGACATCCCTTTCTATTCAGACAAATATCATACGTCTCCGCCAAGTCCAACCAAGTCAAGTAATCATAGTAGATTAATTCAAAGCCACACTTTGTATACTTTGGTTACACACGACCGGTCCAAAAATGATTCCAGCACTCAAACCTCCAGGTACATGGTAAGAAAAAAATACCCAAATAAGTTATTTTCACACATCTCGCCACTTTATTGCAGGAAGCCAAAAGTAGGTAAAGTGAGTCAAAGTAGTTTTCATTTACTTGTGTTCAAATCGTATTGAAATTTGCTTTCTACCCAAAAGTAAGTCAGTTATACCCAAGGGTAGGTGAATATGATCGTGATTATACTCAAAGTCAAAAGTTATCGTGTATGTTTTTGTTTTCGCGTCATTATTTTCCCGCCCTTTTAATATCAGCTGATGGTTTCAACCAGTGCAACCAGAATGACAAATACGTTTTCTTTAGAAGATTTGTATGTTTATTTACTCCCGTTTCTTTTTTGGAAAAACAAAATAAGAAATTGTTTTAATTTTTATTAGAGATGGTTTATTAATTGAACATAGTTGAAGCACCTTCAAAAGCAATAAAAATATTGTTTTTAAACACTTTGTTTCAATTGAATTGACAACACTGGATACGATGATAGTTAATTCGTACGCACACCTTCGTAATGTGGTGTGTAGAAAAAAGGTAAACAAAACTATTTCAGCTTACAAAATTATTCGCGGCTCGCGTTTTCAACGATGCAAATAGTATTATTTAAGTAAATATCGTCTTTAAAAGTGAATTAACTTTAAAGTGCTTGTAGAAGCACGTGTCGTAGTTGTTTTTAGTGTGGTTCTGAAAAGTGAAAGCTAGTGAAAACAGTTATTTAAATTACATGACCAGAGCAGAACAAAATCGACTGATCGTACTTTTTAATGCAAATATTGTGAATGCGTGAATGAATTGGTGGGAAAGTGTTCAAATATGTATCCAGATCTTATTCATACAATTTTGGCCCATTTTTTAAGGTATGTAATTAGTAATTTACTATTTTGTAGGAAGATATCTTTCGTACGCATACCAAACACATTTATTTAATAATCGTGGGGACAGCCATTGTTGCATGATGTGCCGTATCACCTTAATGGCCCTTCGCTCATTTTTAACTTCTATTCAATTTTCATACTGCCGTACTCTAACGGAACTATCCACCTACCCTCTTCTAAAGATCATTCTCTATCTAATAAATTATCACACTAAAGCTTCATGTTAGTATTTCCAACCAACTCTAGACAAATGTATTTTTTTTTGCCGTTTGATGTTTTGAACCACTTTGTAGATCATTTCAAACCAGTAGAAGATTATTGAAAATAATTATTAAGTAAAAACTTTTAATAAGGGATTTTGCACGAAAAACGTTCCATATTTCAATCAGATGAAGAAATAGACATCTAGTATCATGAGAAAAGTTTCTTGTTTTGATATTTTCTAAAAAACACCGCTGCTGAATATGAAATTTTGGAAAACGTAAAGCTTTGGATCTCATTAATCATTGATCTGTCAAAGAAGGGAATTTTTATATCCAGAAACTTTGACGAAGACACCACTAGTCATTAATGCACCTTCCATTCATTTTGACTAAAAAAATGTTTTAAGAAATTATGGAATAATAAGACATAATGAAAATATTTTGATTATGTAAACAACAAGAAAAGATTGTTAAGTTTGTGTTTGACACATAATACCTGCCAATTTTGCCACATGAGAGTCGCAATAAGCGATTTTGTAATTTATCTCACCCACTCTTCGCTCTTCACTCTTCGCGAAGAGGCGATCAGAAAAACGCTCATTGTGACTCTGTAAAAGCTAAATTTGCTGGTTTGATGTGTGAAACACAAACTTTACAATATTTTCTTATTACTTACACATACAAAATATCATCATGATATCCTATTATTCTATAATTTCATAAAACATTTTTTTAGTCAAAATGAATGGAAGGCACCCTGATGCCAGATAATGACTTTTGGCCGTCTTTTCACAGTTTTGGACCACTGTGGGGCTCCGAAATGAAAATAGACCAAGGGCCGACGGGCGACTGAAAATGAAAGATAGTTAGTATTTCATACATGCACAATGTTTGATAAGTTTGTAAAACAGCGAAAATGAGACAGACGATAATTGAACGTTGGTACTTTATGTTGATAACAACATTCAGTAATACACTGGAGTCGTTTTTTACGCGGGTGATACGTCCCGCGTAAAAAAAACCGCGTAAATTCCGGAATCCGCGTAAAAAAAAACCGCGTAAATTCCGAAACCCGCGTAAAAAAAAACCGCGTCAAAAAAGACCGTGTAAGAAAAAACCGCGGAAAAAGCGATTTACCGCGTCAATTCTGAAATCCACGTAAAAAAAACCAAAATCCACGTAAAAAAAAAACCGCGTAAATTCCGGAATCCGCGAAAAAAAAAACCGCGTAAATTCCGAAATCCACGTAAAAAAAACCGCGTAAAAAAAACCGTGTAAAAAAAAAACCGCGTAAAAAGCGACTCCAGTGTATAATATTAAGATAAGATTCTTCCATACAAACACAAGCGATATATTACGCATTATGCATTACATTTGGTATAGACCTTTTTGACGTTTTATAGTCTTTCTCTATCCAGCACACACGAATGAATGAACGGTTTGTTTTCCCACTAATCTGTTCCCCTCTTGCTTGCACTCGTTCGATTTAAATGGTGCAGTAGTGTGCACCGATTAAACGTCAAAAAGCTCTATGTTCAGTACAAGTCCCCGGCAGGATGAAAGATAACCTTAGTTTCACGTACCCACTTGCAAATAGTAGATGTCGCCACACAACGTAAACAAAGGGTTTGTCCTTCACCACCGCAACGGTGTTTCTGTATGAGAAACAAAATTTTTGTTTCACCATGTGTGGATGTCAAACAACAGGCAAGAATGCCATATGAAAAGAGCGAATTCATGAATTTCGTGGTGAAATTCAATAAATCCATACAAATTGAACCGATTGAATGAGTTTCATCTTATATCATCGAATGGCAATCAAAATACTTTAATTTCTTCAGTTTTATTTTGCTCTTGAATTTGATCAGCCTTCAGAATATTGCTTTGAACATAGTTGTGCAATGAAGGTTTACTTTCCCGTGTTTCTCCTACGGGATAAGTAAAGTAAACGGCTGAAATTGACCTTCGACAGACGTACAAACTACACCGTTGTAATATCGTTGTACTCTTTTAAGCTAGTAACTCAAATTGTACATTATGCAGTACTAGCTGCACAAGTTTGTCGGATTAGCCAGAGGATACTGTAATAAGTACGCTCTTACTTGCGTAAAAACCATTCTTTCTTTGTTCATCAACTTTTTTTCAGTCTTTTGGTGACAGTCGTCCATACTTTTACTAGAGTACTGTAGTCGAAATCACCGAAAGTATTATCGCTCAATTCTCATTTGTTTCGATTAATTCGATGACAACCACATATTTTCGATTTACAAATCATATGTTTAGGCTTTTGGTTATGCTCAAAGACATACGAGATTATATAAAAAAAAATTCATTAACTGATTATGAATTGTGCATACGACTGAATATCAAAATGACTGGACTTCCTATGTCGCTAAAACCATGCATAAAGTGCTTATGTTTTACGAAAAATAGAGCTGTGAAAAAACATTTCCTCCAAACAGTTGGTGAAAATGGGGTAAAACACATACCTGCAAGGCTCTTCGGTCTATGGGACCACGTGCAATCGATTCCCAGGACAATTTCCCTTCGGAAAAGTTGTTTTTCATGGCCGGAATTCAGCGTGCTGTTGAGATATTGAATTTTGGATAATTTTGAACCCATTTTTGCCCATAGTGGGTTGGTTCAGTAGTTTGAGTAGTTCTACAACTTTCTAGACAAAAATACCTTTCTTCAGGGCAAAATGGTTTTTAATAGTAGACCATGATTCAGTTTATTTATTGCCGAATTTATGAGAACAATTCTTTTGAAATAACTTTTTGGATTTGGCCAATAAGTTCAATTAAGTTCGTAATATTTTAGACTCAGATACTTGGCACACTTGGCATACTTGGCACAGGTGGTCAAGGTAGATTTTCGTTGATCCTATTTCTTATATTTTTCCGCAGTTAGACTATTGCTTAGTTGCTAGTTTTGATGATTTAATGATTATTATTATGGTAAAAATGGTATCAATTTCTACGCACCTCAACGCGCTCTTCCTTTAATTCCACCTTCACGGCTAATTTTTCCCGCAGTAGTACGTCTGGATAATGGGTCTTATCGAAGGTTGCTTCCAGTTGCTCAAGTTGTTCTTCGGTAAAAATTGTGCGATGTCTCCTTTTCCGCTTAATATGGCTATCAGAGTTGAGAAAGGGATATCGTGGACGAAAACTACCATCACATGATACTAGTCCGACGGGTGAAAGCTGCGCGGAGAATAAATCATGCTGGATATAGCTGTGGCATGACGAGGGATATGTGACTGTTATTTTTTTTATGGGATAAAAGATCATACAATAATGTTGTTAATAATTGATCTTCAGTTGCAGATACGGTGGTCTTTACTTACTTCCTAGTAAATTTGATGATAGAAGGGGTATTTCTGAGGGAGTGTGCTGATGTAGGGGATTGATTCCAGAATAGTGAAAATAGTTGGTTGGACTATTTTTTATTGCATCGTGAGGGAACACCTGCGATATTTGTCTAGTATCCAACGATGAAAGTACTTTATCATGTATAGAATTTTTCGACATTTGAGAATTAAGTCCTAGTATGCTTTCAATGGTAAAAATCGACACAAAAGGCGATTTCTCTTTCGACAAGTTTGTTTGTACTCCGGGCTCTTCTTTTGCGTTCCTGGGATCTTCCAAATGCTCGTTACCGAACATTTTGACAAATTTAAATCTAACGTTCACACTCGATTGAAGAGTAATTACTGTAGTTCAGGCAAATTCACGTTTTTTATTAGTATTGCACGACTTTTTTTTATCACAGAAATCAATCAGAAATAATCACTTATATGGAGATGAAATTTATGTGATCACCGTGGATGATATAAAAAGATTAATTTGTAACGTTTAACATTACCGCTTACTTCAATCGTTAATGAAGGGGCTCCCCATAGCACGTATTTGACGTTTACGAAAGGTAGCGGTTGGATAAAGACAAACTGGGAATCTCGTATTTGTTTGGTAAAATGATTTAATGCTATGTTCAGACTAGGGTGTTATAACATGTTAAAAGGCTGTCTTGATGAAAGTTTTCTTGTCGATAATTATTATAACAGCATCTCAAACTTGACAATAGGCTTTTCATTGCTAAACTTTATCTAGCAGATAGTTCATCGAAGATATCCAATAAATAAATATTGAGCTGTTTTTTATTCTTCTTTGGATCTTTCATCCTAACTGGAACTTTGCGCCTGTTCGCAACTTTATTGCACATTTCGCACCAAATCGGAGTCATGCGCTAAAAATAATCCCTCAGATTTATTTTCGTTTCTATGCAATAATTGTTCTAATTTATTTATGCATTGCGTATCATAAGAAAAGTTTCCGTCCGGCGGCTACCGCAGTTCTAGCGCAGCTGTTAAAAATGTCTACCAAAAATGCGCTAAATATTGAAAAAAAAAACAAACATTGACAAACTTGAAGTATTGTTACTAACGATTCTTTGAAGCCTTGTTTATTTAAAAGCTGCTGTGGAATTTCTTCTCTGGAAGAGCAATACAGTAATGAAACGATTTTCTTAGCCTCTCTTTTGAAAATATGTTTTAATATTCTACGAAACCCATGCGCTGTTCCAGTAATCTTATTGTACCAAAGTATACCTTAAACATCTATCTTGAAGATGAAAGAGAAAGATTTGGAATTATGGTTATGTGAAATTATTGAAAGATAAAAGTCTGAGGGGCTGACAACATCGCGTTATTTACAATAGAGCAATTCCACGCCAAATGACGAATCGATCTTATGCAACCATCTCCGGTTGGCATGAAACTTTGCATAGTTGTTTGCTATGGGCAGTGCTGTTATTTTCCAGATCATTCGATTGAAGATGAACCATACAACTATTAAATAAGTTCTGTGAAAACGAATTCTCTCATGTACATCATTTGTAGAGTTCCTTTCTTAATCGAACCTCATTGTCACTGTCAATTGAGTCAATCACTATATATATATACGACAGTGGAGTATGGAACAATCCCAGCTAAATCGTCAATTTTGGGTTTTATTGTCGGGTCAATGTTGGGTTAACATCGAGTTGGAGTTTGGTAGAAGTCAGGTTGGTGCGGGTTGGCTTAGCTTTTTCGCCGGAATGTCGACCAGAGCTCCGTTTTTGTGTAGGTTACACTCAATTGAATGATATCAACCGTTTCTCAAATGAGAATGATCCATGCCTTCGCAAACTGATATCACCCATTCGAAGGAGGTCTCTTTTGATAGCGGATAGCTGATTTTCTCATTTTTATCAAAAAATTTCAAATGATGTTGATAATTTACAGCACTGGTTATGGGTTAATCATTCACAGTTGAATTGAATCTCGCAAAAAACTTCAAAATGGCGAATTCGATATTTTTCAACAAATTATAACTCGGAAACGTCTCTTCCAATCGAAATGACGTCTGAGACAAAGTTGTTGGAAAAATTAATTCTTTTTCAGAAAAATAAACACGGTATAAAATTTCAAGTAATTTTTAGATAAACATCAAAAAAAGTGTGTGAAATTGAAATAACAAAAATTACCAGCTTCAACATTTTTGGAATATTTTGCATTGAAATACTTTAAACCGTGTTAAATTTAAATGTTCCCTCATTTCACATCCGTTGAAACATTCTGAACGGCTATACCGTTGTGGTTATATCACAGCATTGCTAATAATGTTTATATCTATATAATTTCCGGTACCATGGAGTCGACATAGTAAAAGTAAAAGAAGAGCCGTAATATGAAGCACATGCGATACGACAATGGAATAATGCTCGTTAAGAAAATTCCGGGAGATGCGCAATGTCAATTTTCTGCAATGGTGTTACGGTTTTATAAGACACAACTAGGAACTCAAGATCATCATACTAAAATAATGGACACAAATAGACACGACACTTGGACAGAAAAGTGAAGAAACAGCGAAAGTTGGTGAGATCGTTTTAAATTAGTGCTCATATTTATACAAAAATTGCATATACTAAATACGTGCCAGAATAAAACAAAGTTTTTGACGTAGAACTACGTCTTTGTCGACTATACTGGGGTACAAATCAAAAAATATGTGTGGTGAAATAGTGTTAGGTTTTGAACGCTTGTAACTTGGTCATTTATAGATGAAATAAAAATCCAAGTACGCCAATCGATAGATATTACTTAACGGATCTGCTGAAATAAATACTTTTCCAATTTTTAATCAAAAAACTTTTGAAAAATGCGCAAATGATAATTTTATTACTGTTTTCATGAACTAACACGGATATCAAATTCGTTAAGTTAAGATAACAATCTTAATAGTTACTTTCACATGGAAAAATATTGTTGTTTGGAAGAAACCTATAGTTATTCCAACATTAATTTGACCGTCAACTCAATCATATCTACCTTATAGATTCAATTGTTCATCTTATACTCAATTCAACTATAACTTTGATCAACTATAACAACCGTCATATGTAATTTATTTATATAATTTCGTTTCAAGTGATCATTATAAATCCACATACTTTTAACTAGTGAAGCGTAGAGCAAGCGATAAGATAGCTCACGCAGATGAACACGGTTCCAATCTAAGTTGAATGTTCTTGTTCACTTTTTTATGATTTTGCAGTTGTGTTTTTGAGATCGATAAAGAAGCAAAACAAACTTCCTTAATATGTCCATAATGAAGAGCAGTTCGTTTAATAAACATTGTAAAATTTTGCTTTCATAACAATAGTTTTCTTGAATCTACTAAAGCATAGTTGTATTTTGAAGTTTGACGTTTGTTCATCTACTGAAAAATATAATTGGGCCAACCGAGGAGCCAACTATGGACTATAGTTGTTGGTCTCTATATATATTCAAGTCAACTATAGTTTCGGGTTATCTCTAAAACAATTGAACAATATAGTTATTTTGACCGGAAAAATAATTGCGTCTGCTATAATTTGTTCTCCGTGAAACGTTTTCCCCAAACCCAGTCATCATAAACGAATACCACTTGGTTGCACATCATTCTGTTTGAATCTGAAAAGATATAAAACAGCGCTACTTTCCTACCTCTGCTCATTACCGCTTCGGACGGCGTGGCGCTAGGTCCTGCAGCAAGCAAGACCAAGACAGCGGCTAAAGGGGAATCACGGCGTGATCACCTGTCACATAATGAGGAATGAGACTAGGATATGCAAAATACCCCTCCCCCGTCTATAACGTCAACTCAAAAAAGACATGGATTTGACGATCACTTTTTTCCGGCAAATAAATTTAAGCAAACTACAATTATAAGTAAAAACCAAAGCCAAAATTTTCAAAACAATTGCTTAAGAGGAGACATACATCCGATGATATTATGTTGGTAAACTACCAACAACTCACTGTAAAACATAGCTGGTATCTCTATTAATGTAATTAGATTAACATCCAAAGTCCATCCTTTTTCCATATTTTGCACAAAAGATACGTTCTTCCCCGCCCCATTCATAATAATAAGTATAACACTAGTTTACAAAACAACATAAAAAGTGTGAACTTTAGTGGTTGACCAACGTTTCTAATGCAAAATCCTACGCTGAATTCAATGCCGTGGTCAGAAAAAATTAAAGTAGAGCCATTTTTGAGATACACAAAAATTTTGATTTTTTGAATTTTGGACAAAAGTACGATTACTAAAATGTCAATATCTTTGGAACTAGTGCACCAATTTTAAATCTTTTTTTATGAAAGTGAAGCTAAATAAATTTGCTACCGTTCATTAGAATATTATGTCTTAATTAAAAATTTAATTTTGTAGTCATTTAAAAATTTACAACATTTTATTTTTATTTTTCCTGCGAATTTTCCATAAAAATCTTGTTTTAATCAACATTTTTAATGTGATAAAAAGATTCAAAAAATCATTCCATAATTTATTTTTGAAGTCCATTAAAAACTGGAGAAAATGAGCCTTTAATGGATGAAATCGGTTGGAAATTGTCGAAGTTATGAAATTTTTTGTAAAATCATGGAAATTGAATGTTCCAAGATTGGCCGTTGTCCCGCTCCTAGGTTCATGCACCACTTCCAGTAAGCCTTTCTGCGGACGTGTACGCATACGGTGCATTTCACTAACACTACCAGCTGTCACGCAAAATTAAATGGGATATTTTCAACAATATAATTTACGCTAGTGTTTGTGATACCGCTCGGCGAGAACCTAACGCAACCAACTCAATTTGACAGCTTTCTTTCTTTAACATTGCTTAACGATGTATACGACAAAACGTGAATTCAAGTGTAAAAATGATCCTCAAAAGTTTTGTTACGCGTGTGGAAAGAAACCCAAAACTGTTTACACAATCCGAATTTAATGATTTGGTGCGAGATCTCGACTTATCGAAGGAGAAATCCGAATTGCTGGCATCACGCTTGAAAGAACACAACATGCTGAGCAAGGAGGTCAAAATTTCTTGTCACAGGAATCGTCACAAGAAATTTGACAAATATTATTCTACAAAGGACAAGGCATGTTTTTGCCATGACGTAAACGGCTTGTTTAAAGATTTTGGTGAGCCATATGATCCAGCTGAATGGCGTTTATTCATCGATAGCAGCAAGTTGAGCTTGAAAGCCGTTTTACTGCATCACGGGAATGAGAAACCTTCTATTCCATTAGCTCATGCCATTAATATGAAGGAAACGTATGAATCAATGGCTCTATTG